TCGAATATTAATCTGAAAGTTTTGGTGATTGATGCACAGTTCCTATATGATTTTAACAGCATTTTATTATCGATACCATCTCTCGAAGTACTCAAAATACGGTATTCACAACTAATCAAGATCAATTCGCAAGCACAGAGAGATAAGATACGATTACACGAACTATTCATTGAGTGCAGTGATAATCAAATTAACAAATATAAAACATCGAGGACTAAATCCGAAATTCATTGTTTTATACAAAACGTTGCACTTTACATTGATTTTACATCGTTTGAACGTCTTGCGCTTGTTTCGATCAGTCAATCGGTGTTCATCGACGCTGCGACTCTTATGGTTATCAAATAAAATTTTTGGTGCTTATTGGATTTTATTTATATCATTTGACTGTGTCACTACTGTTTAATCAATTTTAATGCTCATATTCTTTGCAATATTGTAGCTGTTTGTCTTGTAGGAATTTAGATCTTATATTCTAACAACGTATGGCTTCATGCTGTCATCTAATGAGTAGCACTGACAGTTGCATATGTTTATACTGCCTACACCGTATATACGTACTTGAGTACTTTTTAATTAGGATTACGAGAGAATCGTACAATCACACCGTGCTGCTGTGTAGTGATACGATGTGTTCAATGAATGATCAATTATTAATTCAAAACAGTAGTTTATAACTATTCAAGCATTTGAATGCCGTTTGGATCACCAGAACACCGTGTTGGCTATACACGCTTTCAAAAGAAGCGATTTCTACTACGTTGTGTGTGGGCAATCCGGGTTGTCAAATCTGAGATGGCAGAAAGGCTATTCTTATGGAAGCATGAAAAGCAGTTTCATACGCGTAAATTTTACTGTTCATCTATGCATCTTGACAAATTTTTGTTTATCCAGTAGTTTAAAGCGGATGAACTGCATTAACAAAATGCGTGTTGATGCATTCATGTGTGCTTATCACCTGGCTGGATACGGTGCAATCATCCACTATACGGGAGAAAATGTCTACTACACGAAAAAAATAGAGGAATAGCACGGGTATTTCTCTGAAAAGGCCAAAAATGGGTCAAATACCGAGTATTTTTACTTGGCTGGATGTTGGATTGCCGAGAACCACGCTTATTTGTGAATCTCCGAGCAGAAGTGTTCCTTGAGATGCTCTTGGGAAGATGCCATGCAAGTCACGGCTCGCGTGTTAAGGTTACCGTTACGATCTCAGCGTACCTTTTTTTGTGAAGATAGTACATGCGTAGGAGTTATGTGAAAGAAGCACTAGTTTTCTCCATGAACCTAAAGTCCGTGGCCATGACCAGTCTCAGCGGTCCAGAAAAGCGTGCTTGCTTAGGTGTTGCATTATGTGTCAAATGAATGTAATTTTGATAAAAAACGTAAGGTCACCATCCTTTTATTTACTCTCAAACAGCTTTTAAACACATCCACCCATTTAAGCTTCTTTGTACCTAATGCCAAAACAGCGTTCCACAATTTCACTGAATAATCATTAAACTCGTGCTGTAGTACATTTGTACTCTCATCTCTGAGTACAGGTATATTTCACATAATAACCTCGAATGCAACCCATATTCTGTATCTTGAATTGTATTCTGATCACGAATCCCTTTTGTGAGGTCTGTAGAACTCCTTTTGCTGAGCGATTTATCAAAAGTTTTATGGATACCCCAAATACGAGCTCGCTGTCACCGCAGTTCAAGTATACACCGTAATGTTTTCCCTGTATTACCCTAACGCATACGAATCAACAACAAAGTTTGTTTACAAATACTCACAATCGATACGCATGTATAAATTAACTTCAGAGATTCATTCCGCTCCTGTATCAACTTGCAAAATAAATCACATTTTTTGTAAAACAACGATTTATTTTTCCCGTAACAAAAAGAGAAAAGCATCTGCACCGTATTCTGCGAGTTAAAGCCAATTCAGGTAATCATAACCTCCGATCAAAACACCACATTTCCTTTCCTAGTTAAGATAACCGTTCTTAGGTCTTCTCTTTTACGTTACAAACCACTAACATTTCTGCTCAGTACCACCCATTCATCCATTAAAACACAACGTACACCCCAATTAATACACCAACACGCATTTATTCTAATGAATGCTTCTATAACACAGTTACACCATTTCTTCAATTTTACCTTTGAATTACCTTAATTACATTTTATTAAACAATACCATAAATAGTAAGTAGTACAGGAACAATCACTAACTCACAGCTCAAACACATTTTTCTCTATTCCTCTGAACGGACCATCCTTATAAAACATTTTAGGTCTAAAACTTTCCTGTTCATGCAAAATAGGGCTGTTCCTGAATTTCCTATAGAGCGCTTCTATTCCCTGTATGCTAGCGTACGTAACCTCTGCTATCTTATTCGATGAGTACTTCGTCCATCCCCTTCCATGGACCTTATAATAAAACGTGCACAAATAATCCGCATTAACAAAGTTAATGAATGCGTAACCGACATTGCACTCATTCAGGAAGTCCATGCGAAGATACAGAAAGTCGTAGCAGCCGTAGTGATCCTCGTTCAAGAGGTTTATGAGCATTGCCGATGTGTATTTGTTTGGTATGTTTTTTAGCATCACTGTTAGTTTGCTGTTTTGGTGGATGAGGGACGGTGCGATTGTGAATGGGGTGGATTTGAAGTATAGTGCAGCCTTCAAACGCACAAGATGGCTCGAGCACAGTGATGAGCCAGTAGTGGCACAGCTAGCACCGTGGCGTGCACTAATCCGGTTTGTGCTCACCGCACTGCAACCATCCGCATAACCGCACGTGTTCTTAGGCCGTACACCGTATGCCACACCTTTTCCCAGCACATCCCCACCATGTCCTCTTTTCCGGCCCAGTTCCAATCCGTAGTTTTGTTTGTGCGTGAGATACGTTGGAAAAGAGAACTTTTTCTTTACTTTATACTCGTTTACGTCAGCCTTTATGCTTTCGTACCGTATTTTATCCAGGTATGTGCTCACAGGTCTGTGATCAAATACATTGCTGTTTATGCCCACATTTTCTTTATCGCTGTACCCGTCCTGGCAATCATCTGTATTCGCACCACTTGAACCATTATTTTGGTCATTCACACAGTTGCTACTTCCTCTGCTGTTATTTTTTTCTCCACGCCCCTCCTTCCCACCTTCACCCCCATGCTTTTTACCACTATTTCCTCCCTTACCTTCATCTCCACACTCCTTCTCTCTTCCTTTCCTACACCCTTCATCTCCACACTCCTTCTCTCTTCCTTTCCTACACCCTTCATCTCCACACTCCTTCTCTCTTCCTTTCCTACACTCTTCATCTCCACACTCCTTCTCTCTTCCTTTCCTACACCCTTCATCTTCACACTCCTTCTCTCTTCCTTTCCTACACCCTTCATCTCCACACTCCTTCTCTCTTCCTTTCCTACACCCTTCACCTCCACACTCCTTCTCATCTCCACACTCCTTCTCTCTTCCTTTCCTACACCCTTCATCCTCAATCACCCAACAGCCTATCCCATCCTCCTTACCCAAATAAACCAATCCAAACCACTCCAACCCAATCTTTCCCAACACATTCCATTCCAACACCCCATCATCCCTATCAACTCGTGCACACCTCTTCTTCCTTCGTACTGCTGATGAACTGTTACTCATATTTTGGGGTGCCTTCTAACCATGCACATTTTATTTTTATCTTTAGGATGATAGTCGTGCATGATGTGATGCGATACCATTGCTGGTGGTGTGGTACTACGTGGTCGGTGTACTACGGTAATACCAGGGATTGGTGAGGTACCATTACCGTACCGCAAATGTAATATCACTGTTATGGTAGTATTGTTGTACCATCACGGTATTATTGTGTGGAAGGATGGATTTAAAACAAAAATTGAAGGTACGGTTTAAGACAGGTAATAAAAATGGAACAGTACCACAAAAACATGAACAAGCACGTAGTACAGTACAATGCACACCAATAAAGCACATGTTACCGTGCACAGCACGTATCCTCTTCATTAAAATGCATTTATCTACTGCCTCACACCACATCTCCAGAACAAATACACCCTTCTAATCCATCATCCTATTTTATGTTTCCTTATCACGAATGATATTTCCTTTTCCAACGCAGTGAGAAAGAAGGTAACAAAAATACCATTCAATCCTTAATTTAAGGTTACAATACGTGTTCAGCGCTATATATGCAGTAATGCATAGCATTACTATCATTTTATGCTAATTTAGTACAAAAGTATATTTTTGTTTTTGTGCTCATATCTCTTTGATGCGTTTGATCGGTAGAGCCGTAAATAAATTTGTTATGATTGTTGCACAGGAGCGTTCTATCACGGTTTATGATACGTTACGGTAATTGTACGTTTTGAAGCACACGGTCCTTCACCACGGATCAATGCTGATTAGATGGCAACTTGAACTAAAAAGGCACATGAAGAATTATAAATTGTAATGGGGTGAGATATGGGCTGAACATGCAGTGCAATGGAATACCGGAGTAACATCAATGCTATGAGGTACAGACCGTAACACGCACCAAGTAAAATGTGCAAGTACTGAATCATACATAGTATGAGCATTACAGCACGTACACGCGATGTGATAGGCCGTTCACCACTTCTCATCTTCTCATCTCCTCCTCATCTCCTCATCTCCTCCTCATCTCCTCCTCATCTCCTCCTCATCTCCTCATCTCCTCCTCATCTCCTCCTCATCTCCTCCTCATCTCCTCCTCATCTCCTCATCTCCTCCTCATCTCCTCCTCATCTCCTCATCTTCTCATATTAAAAACCGTACAACCCCTAACAACAAAAAAAGCAATGCTCCCCACAAAAATGCAAAGCATAAAAACGGTGAAAATGCACACCGCTGACATCAAAGCACTTTCAAACACCTCCAAAACAATCATATCATGCTCGCGTGATAAGACACTGTCATTCTTTACGGATGATTTGGTGTTAATGGGAAGAGTGGAAATGAGCTTTGGGTATTTGACAGCTCTTGCTGTGGATGAGCGGTTTGTGTACGTGGGTAGTGAGGAAGGAGTGATCAGCGTTTATGAACGGAATGATGTCGAGGATTACGTTGGAAATGAGGATGGGGCACGTGTAAGTACAGGTAACGGTGAAGTAGGTACGGGTAGAAGTGGTGAGGAAGTGGATGGAGAGGAGGGGCTGGATAAAAGTACAAATGTGGATGGAGAGGAGGGGCTGGATAAAAGTACAAATGTGGATGGAGAGGAGGGGCTGGATAAAAGTACAAATGTGGATGGAAATGAAAAGATGTGCAAAAATGGAAGTACTGCCAAGAACACCTCAGAAAATAAAAGTAAAAGAACCGGTGAGCTCATTCCGCACACATACATCATCCACCATACAAAAAACGTAACATCACTCGTATCAGACAACTCACTCCTCATAAGCGGGTCATGGGACAACGACATGGTAGTTACAGACATTAGCACACATTCTAAAGTGTACAGCTATACGCATCCAAGCGGTGTGTGGTGCGTAAGAAAAGAAGGTACGCGTATTTACACTGCATGTATGGATGGGTGCATAAGAATGTTTGAGGATGGAGAACTGAAGGAGTGTGTAAGCGTACATGGGGGGTGTGTGCGTACAATGATTGTGTGTGGAGAGAGAATGGTTGGCGTAAGCAACGATGGACGGGTATTGCTGTGTGGGATTGATGACAAGACCGTGGTTGCATCGCGGATGCTTGGTGTGTATTGCTACGATGTGCTGGTGCTTGGTGATGGTTTGTACACGTTCCTATTCCTTGCAGATGATGGAGTGGTGTTTATAACGGATCACTGCTTGGGCCGTATGCGTAAGGCATGCATCGGAGAGTTCTGCTGGTGCGTGGTGAGGGAGCACGAGCATTTGTACTTCGGGAGCTCCAAAGGGAACGTGATCAGGATTGCTGTTGATGATTTGATAGAGCACAGCACGGATGTGATGATGATCGAGAAGGGCGTTGTTGTGAACGCTCAAAATGATGTGAATATTGGTAAACAGCTCGAGGAGATAAAGAGTAAGATCAAAGACAGCAAGGACTACAAGATTGAGGGTACCACGCTGTTCCAAAAGCAAGGGGACACGTGGATACAAGTCGGTGAGGTAATGGGTAAGCGAGACAATACTTTCACCGTTGAGCTGGACAATAAGAAATTGGAACTGAGCTTTGACAACGATGAAAATGTGTACGATGTGGCAGACCGTTTTCTGCGTGAGAATAAGCTTGGCGATGAGCACAGGGGTGAGATCGTTGAGTTCATACGGCAGAACTTCAAGAAGTGCGGGATGAAAAAGTTCAAAGACATCGACACTGTTGGATTGAGGAAGTACATTGAGGATGAGGACCTTGTGAAGGTGTTAGAGAGTATCAAGGAGCATGGTGTGAAGTACGGTGGTAATAGCAGTGTAGATGGCAATCAAAAGGGTGTTGCTGGGGAAGGTGCAGTCGTAAACGATAAACCTGATGCTTCTCCCACAGGTGCACCTGTCAATGGCTCAATCGATTGCATCCCTAACATGCAAATGTGCGTTCTGGAATCAAAGCTCAAAGCACTGTTCACCGACCAGGATGATAATTTCTATATCATCGACATTTACAGGTTCCTCTCGTTGTACGGGTTGCCCATCGACTACTCGTTCATACTTACCTACGCACCAAAGACAAGGAAGGAGAAAATTACGTTTGTCATGCTCGTGTCCAATTTGTACTTCTGTCCCCCTTTCGATCTGGAAATGGTTCACGGGAAGATTAGAGAAATGGTTGGTGCTGTGAGCGACAATGTATGGAATGTGTACGAGGAGAACAGGCGGAGTAGCAGTGCTTAGTGGCTGTTGATGAGGGTGTGTTAGTTGTTTATGCGTGTTTGTTCGGTATTTGTACTTTTGGACATGGTTTTGTTTATGCACATGTTTTGTGGAGTGTATGTGCTTTTTACTATCTGTGGTAGCTGGTCGTGTGCTGAAGCAAGTAATCTTAGTAAATACCGTGGTGGTTTGGCAGACGTACATTTTAGTTTACTCATCGTATTAAGCACAAGTGTTTGAGCTCTTTGCTTGGATAGTTCAGTTATTGATTGGTGTGCCACAATCAAATCTTCATCTTTCTCTTAAGTGCTGCATGCAGATGATTTTGTTGTAAATCTGGTAATTTATGCCTCTTTCACACAATGATGCATTTTATATTCGATCTGATCCTTAAACATGCTAAAGCACGGCATGTCTGCAACTATCAAGGTGTATCTCCATGAACTAAAGGCTAGTGGTTGCGGTCGGTTCTATCTGACAGAAAAGGTGTAGCTTGCGTAATATTGGTATCAGAAGATAAGTAAATGGCATTTAATAAAATGGTATCAGAAGATAAGTAAATTGCATTTAATAAAACAATCAGATATATTTCTTATCATGTGCTAATAATGGGGCTGTTGTTCGACCTATAGCATTTTTCTGGAGTATTACGGCAGTATTCCACTGATATTATCCTTGCAAGAAGCTTTGATTGGTCTTTTCGTAGCTTTCGCGCGGTGAATGGTAATTATCTATCTAAAGGAGACGTTAGTCCGTGCACTAGGTCAATCTATCAAATGAAGTTGCCTGTACCGCTAGCTACGGTTCTAACCAAATACCAGTTAACATCTCAATAATGGTAAATAGATCCGCTCAACACTCTGGTAACATCGATCTACCACTCTAACACGCTTGTTCTGCATATTTCCGATCAATAAACTTTGTGGATGGTACACAGCCACTTTCAAATTAGGTAGAAGTGATGGCATGCTTAGATCAGCAATCCCTTGCTAATACATTAGCAATAGCTAGTGCTTTACTGCGATCTCTTTATTATTCCCAACTCGTTGTGTGACCTAAAAAAGCTGTGTAATCGTGATCCTTGAACAATAAAGGATGAAATGCGCACCAATGTACCGCAGATATGGTTGTATTCCAAATAAAAATACTAATTTGCTAATGTGATGGACCTATCTGCTAGCATTAGTCACTCCTCAAATATCAATCACGGTGTAGGAATTACCTGAACAAACCTATCGAGCACCAGCGAACAGTAACCGTAAATCAGTGCGAGCACCTGTGAGAAAACAGTATTTTCCACTAAGAGAACATTAACCTATTAATTACACGCATATAATAAGGGAATATCATGCTGCCTGTAGGCATCTGCAGAAGATGGTTAGTTTAATTAGTGAGCAGCATTGAATTGATAGCTAGTAAATGGATGCTAAGTATCCATTAAGGAGATCAAAACTATATAAACGGTGTTAGTATGTTTCTCATGAATAAAATTTCCATATTTGGACTATTGTTTTATATTATGTACGTGATGACATCTTGGAGCTACAGCAGCTACAGTAGCGGATCACGTAGAGGTGGTCGTGGTGGCAGTTCTGGAAGAAGATCGAGTGGCAGCTGTCCGAACCGATCATCAGGGTCGTGTCCAAGAAGCTGCTGCTCTGGGTAACAGCTTTTAAATAAAAACGAAATTACGAATTTGTACGATTATTTGGATCAAAACATGTGAAAATGTTAATAATTGGTAATCGATACTTTGTTGCCATCATAGTTGCTTAGTTTGGCAATAAGCACAACATCCTATCATCGATCAAAATGCAACACTGCAGAGTTTCTGTGTTATATTTGATCAGGAGCTACCACATCATTTGTTTATTTGTTTGAAGACATTTACAAGATATGGATCGAGCAGACCTGCTCGATCTTGAAGGTTAAGACTTCACGAGTTTGATCGATAGATGCACCCATTCACATGCTTGTAGGTTTGAATAGGCCTTGAACGAGGATACGAACTTTTCAGTCTTTTCCCCGACAGAGCAAAATAAAAACTATTTGCAAGTCAGTACCTTTTATTGCTACCAAAAAGAAAAAACCTACCACATTGCTGTTTTAGTACATTTTGTTAAATTCAATCAAATAATACAAAACTATTCATTTATTATTGTTACTGTGGGCAGACCGTCTACTCAATGTCAACGCAAAGTAACAATAATTTTATCAATTATGTGTACCGTATTGGTAATGAACGTAACTCCTTTATGTCTTCGTTCAGTTAAACCATCTTCATATAAAGGACCATGCTACATAGAAAACGATCCGGATAGACCAATAATATCGCGCATCTTTTTAATCTACTATCCAAGTAGGCTCCATGATTTAATGGCCTAATCAATTTCATTAGCACTTTCGTGGTCACCATTAATATAAGCTACCCCCAACGAGTGACAGCATCTCTCCTTAATCTGGAAGTAAGCATTGGTAACATTGAAGATAATCATAAACCAGTTATCAAAAGAATGAAAAGGGACACAAACATATAAATAGATGCACAAATACCGAAACAATGAACACAACAACATTTATTAGCTTTTTACTGTTCTTCGTAAATCTTTACCATGTTGCTGCTGCTGATGCAGAAAATGGAGAGGTAAAGTCTGCACAGAGCAATCCCTCGAAACAAACTGCTGAAGAGTCGGATGAAAAACCTATCAAAACCGCTGATGGTATGTGTTTCTGTCCCAAGTGCAAGAAAACCTTCCCGCCTAATGAAGAAGGTGAATGTGTCTGTCCTTACTGCTCGAGTAAAGATAAAGAAGAAAAATAAATAGCGTTCTAAACACATTTTGGGATGGTTCTCATCCAATATTTTGTGTCCATGCAGGAACTACTGCTGTCTAGGAATGGATGTGACAGTACAATATTTAGATTTGCTCGTGTCATCTTCAACGACTTGTACATTGCCAGTCTTTGTCGGTGATGTGGAGTTAAAAATATCAGTGCTCTGCAACGATATGTGTTATATGGGTGTTGTGGTATGAAGAGGTAGATAACCATGCTTTTGGTGGATGCTAGTGTTTTTGCTGCAAAGAGGACTTGTAAACATGTCATATGCTGATAATGCAGTACCTGTAACCATATCTGACTGTTTTAGGGTTATAACTGTTGGTCTGTCCATCTTCATTCATTGCTGGTGTGGTGAATTCGTAATTTATACAACGAGAATGCGATTCTCAATTAGTGCATGGCAAGGATATTTTTGCTTGTCTCAAGAGCAGTAAATGTTTTCTGCTCATTTTATAATATGTTAAGACATGTGGTGGTTCTCTTAAGTCACATATGGGTGTTCTTTACGATTACAAAGCACACATTGTAGCTGCTGTGATTAGTTAAGGTTTTTGCCCTTGAAATTACTTCTCTCCGGGTTAAAGTTAAACGGGGATCTTCGTGTAACAAAATTAATGGTCATGAATGATACCACCATAAGGAAAGGCATATTTGTGTAAAAGTGGTATGGACGTAAATAAACATACTTTTGGCAAGGGAAGACACGATTAGATCACAATCTGCTGATCCATTGGATGTTGTTAAAAACGGGCCATATCACGAGGTATTTGGCACAAAAGTAATTGATTGTTACATTTTCAGCACCAAGTACGTATGCATTAAATAATCATTTGCTCCTAATCTGTTACTTTTGAAATGAATGACGTTCTTGCATCTCTACAATTCTAAATTTATATCTCGATGAAATCCTGTTTTATGGTTGTTCTGCATCTATAACGATCAAAACTCATCTTTTGGCAAATACTACAGCACAAATACTTTTGGGAAGTGAAATTAAACATATTGAAAGCTGTAACTACCAATTAACTACTGAATATGGATGATATACATCAAAGTATATCAATGAAAAGCTACCAAAAAACCATTTGCGTTTGTTATTATATTATTTGTCTGACGAGCTTCAACTTTAACAATGTGACAGTTCATCAGATAGCCTGTACAAAAATCTGTGCTGCACCCAGTTAAATATTAAAAAGTAAGGGAAATGGCATTGTAAAAGGAGATAAAAAAAGTATATAAAGACGCGAATACGCTTTTTCATGAAGAAATTCAGTGTCTATCTTCTTCTCATCCTTGCTACTTCAGTGTTTGCCTATTATTATGGGGGCTCGAGATCGTATAACCCATATAGTGGTTACGGATCATGTTCATGTGGGCGATCGGGATGCAGAGGCTGCGGTTATGGTGGCTATGGATCATGCTCGTGTGGCCGATCGGGATGCGGAGGCTGCGGTTATGGTGGCTATGGATCATGCTCGTGTGGCCGATCAGGATGTGGGGGTTGTGGATACAGGTAATCTAGGTTTAAAGTCTGAAGTGTTTCTATACGGGAACAAAGACTCATTCTGTTCACACTAACAGCCTTAACTACAATCTCAAAATGATTAAACGCCAAGTAAATAAGTTATGTCAGTTACAAAACCTATTCTCAAGCTCATGCTGCAAATCCAAAATTGTGGTATTTCTTGCCCAATAATAAGTATAAATTGCTGTCAAGTGTTTCAAATTCAGCGTAATGCTGTCTCATAAACTAGTATTTATGAGTTATTTTATTTTGTTGTGCACGTGTCACCTACTTCCTAGATACTACCTGTTTGATTCAGCGTACCAAATTCTTTAAAAATAGAAATCAACATTCAGTACTTCATTCAATCAAAAATATCGATTAAAGATCCTATGGCTTTGAGACAGGGCCTACCAACGTACATGTATTTGAATTCTTATATCAAGCATAAAAACATCTTATCCAAGGCAGAGAAAAGGTTATCTGCCGCATTTAATAGGTAAAAATATGCTACATCTCCTAAATGACCGACAGATGAAACATTTTACCATTTAACACTAAGGCTCATTGATATGTAAGTAATAGAGGAACATTTTACAAGCTCTTAGTTGCTGGACTGTTTAAACATAGCTGGTAAATAAAGAAATAAGTAAGGCATGTACTTTAAACTTTTTTTAATGAATTTACTCTTCCTCTTCTTCTTCATCTTCTTTCTCATCTTCTTTTTCTTCGCCTTTTGCAGCAGGTGCTCCAGCTTCCTGTGATGGAGGCGGTCCCTGTGGTGGACCCTGTGGCGGTCCCATCGGTCCTTGCGGTGGCGCTTCCATTGGTCCTTGCGGTCCCTGTGGCGGTCCCATCGGTCCCTGAGGAGGAGCCGCATCGGAAGAGGACGGTGGGTTGGAAGCATCTGAGGCTGCTACATATAGAAGGCTAAGTAGTATGGACAGTACTGTGAAATGCATAAGTTCCAAGTTCTATTTCTTTATATACTTTTGCTGTGGCATCCTCCTTTAGGTTTATTCGTTTGACCTTTTCTTCGATATTCATGACTTGTATTGTTCGCAGCTGCCATTGGATATCGCATTCTCGCCTTATTCATGAAGTTGACATTTGATAGCACTGCATTTTCGTTGGTTAGCATTTTTGCGAACGGTACAAATTACCATCGTGGGATGCGTGAATCCTATATATCATTGGTTGGTTTAATGGAAAAGCAATTTATGAATT